GGAGGGGAAGCGCCATCCTAGGAAAGGGGGAGGCCGGCTTTTTTTTTTTTTTTTTTTTTTTTCTTATCCCCCCCATCCCTTTCCCCGGCTGCCTGGATGGGGCACGGAGAGCCGCAGGGGCGAGTCGAGCTGCGGAAACGCTGGGGGTGGCACGGGCTGGGGGTGTGACCGAGGTTGGGCTGGGGTCGGGAGTGGGAGCGCCGGCGGGGCCCTCGTCAGTCCCTTTCTCGCAGCCATTATCCATGGGTCGAGGCGGCGGCACCTCCTCCTCCCGTTGCTCAGATATCGTGGGGGAGGGAAGGAGCTGGAGGGCGGCCTGTCATCCATCACCCGCAAAACGCCAGTGGGAAAAGGGAAAAGCGGATAAAACAAAGGGGTGATTCTGCTCCCAGCCCCTTAATACGGGCCGCCGTCCCGGCTGACCCGTTCTGTGGCATCCTCAAAGTTCCATAGGAAAACCGAGCGTTGAAGGCGGTTGTGTGCAAGGGTGAGAGTTGCCTTTAGGGCAGATAAAATGGAATCGGGCGTTCTCCTCGTCTGGGAGACGCGGGGCGAGAACGAAGCCCTTGTGCGTTCTTAATCTACGAGAGATGAGTCAACCGCGGCCCTAAGAGCTCCAGGTCTGCTTGTGTAAGGGTTGTCAATTAAAAATCAACCGAGTTCTTCTTAGCAGCGAGTAGGGAGAGAAGAAAGGAATGAATCTTGGCTGGGCGCTCAGGATTGATTGGCCCGTGCCACGGTTAGTCCAGCGGGCAGCTTCCAGCAGTGCACGCAGGGACGGTGCAGCTCGCGGCCATGAGCGGCTGCAGCGCCGAGGTATGGATGCATCCGTGTCCTTTGTGTGCAGGGGAAAAAAGCCCTCTGCAGTTGTTGCAGCAGAATTCCTTCCACTGTTGCATTCGGTTCTCTTTCCTGTAACAAAAGTTGGCTCCAGATCACCAGGCAGTAAGTTTGAATGCGTTTTAAAATTGCCATCTCCTCCACGTAGGACAGCGCCATGTTTCGATATTCTTAGTTCTGAAAACTGTACCTTAGTATATATATATATATTTTTTTTTTACAGGTTTTAATAAAATAATAAAAAAAATTGCTGTGGAGGAAATATATACAGGGCATACAGAGTTAAACTTGGCATCAGTGCCTTGATTTTTTTTTTTTGAACCTCTAGGAAAAGATCTTGAATGAGTCAGCGGTCTGAGATGAGAGTTGTGATGGATGGCACTCCCTGGTACAGTGAGGCATTACATGTACTTTGAGATAGATGTTTAATATCAGAATTAATTTGATTCTTTTAGAGGATAAGTGTTGCTTCTTCGCAAGGATTTCTTTTGGCGTGTTTCTGTGGGATTTGGAGAGCTTAGGTTATCGATATTTAATATAAATATCATCTGGCCAGTAAATATATATTGCGGAAAGGAGACAAATCAGTAAGATTTTCAGTAGAGACAACCTACAGCAGTATTTGAAGTAATATCTAAGCTCCTATCTTAATGATTCTGAAGGGCTTAGAAACTGAAATGTTACTGAAATTGAGCATTTATCTCCTGAGAAAATCAGAGGTGCAGTAATCTGTGTGAAAAGGTGATTCTGTACAGACAAGGATGTATTTTATGTAAGCCATTTGTATAATATAACGAAGAGGGAAGGACAGTAAATCAAAATGCCTCTTACAGTGCTCGAAGCATTTATAAATTGTGTATGTTTACATGGGTTTAGCTTAAAAACTCTGTTTATGTTACAGGAAAAAAAAAAATCTTTTGAACCAGACTGGTAAAAATGTGTTTGTAATCAGCTTACTTAGTTTTTACCTTCAGTTGAATTTAGGGGTATTACCACGTTGTCTGTATTTCATTTCAACCATCAGTGAGCAAACCAGAGCTTATAATTTTAAAAGGGACAGTTGAAAGATTTTGTGGGAGTCATCTCATCTAACTTTGTAAATGTATGTCTGACCTAATAGTTTGTAGTTTTCTTGATAGTCATTTGGAAGAAACAGATGACTTATTCTAGAGCTCTGATTTAGGGTGAGGCAAAGTGTGCTACAGAAATATGTATTGCTTTCCAGTGACTGCAAACTCAGTTTGTGACCATGTAAGCATTAAGATGTCTACATTAGGGTTAGATAAATCTTGCTCTGTGTGAAAAGAATTCCAGTCCGACTTGAAATGTGTTCCCAACTGAGTCACCGGTTTGAGTTGGGAAATTTTTTAACAATAGCCAGAATTCGGTTGACTTCACTTATGGTTTTCTCAATCTGTTACTGTAATGCTTAGAGTTCTAGCACTTAAAAAATGTCTGTCTGAATTTTGTTTAAGAAAAAGTAAGGGTCATATGAAATCAGAGCTCTGGATATAAAACCTGATGCTTACACTTTTAAATTCACCTTTAAGTTCAACATTTATCTTCTGTCTGCTATTCTGTCCTGGTAGTGTTTAATTTCAGCTAGTGGAAACTATATCAACACCAGGATTTCTTACCACATCGTTCATTATTTCAAAAAAGAATTATCTGGAAGTAGAATACAGATTGATTGAGGGGTGTGCTAAGAACTGAGTCAGATGAGAAAACAGCTGTCTGTATAGAGTGGTCATAGACAAATAATCAGTATGTCTGTTTGAGAGAGGGTAGGCTTATTCAAGATGAAATTTATCTCTCACAAGAGTGTTTTAATATTTTGTGGTTATTTGAACAGCTGTTAGGTCACTTCCAGTTTGTTGGTGAATTTGGCAGCCAAACTGCAATTGTGGCTTTACAGTCTATCCTTTCTGTGGAATTGTGCTTACTGGCTTGGGCATACTCTTGAGTATGTTTGCTAGTTTTTGAATACCATTGTTTGCACGTAGAATTGTGTTCACTATAAGCAGTGCAGAACATAGCTGCCTGGCATAAAACGGGTTTAGTTTTGAAAGAGTGGCTCCTCTAAGAATTTTTTAACTGCTTGAATAGTACAGGTGAGTTTTAGTTTCATGTAAGTTCTACCTATAAATGAGACTGTTCTGTATAATCAGAATAACTGCAGTTGGATCTGGGTGCCTGTGAATAATGCATTACACTTGTTGGGTTTCCTCTGAAGTCGAAATGCTGCTGTTGAAAGCTGTTAAATGAATTTTAGAGGGTGAAAGGAGAAAGCAGTGGCAGTACTATTTTTCTGTTTTCTGCTGGATGTTTTGGAACCCTTGTTTTCAGTTTTACGTTGATGAAAGATTATGTTTGGGAGTGGGGAAAAAAAAGGAAAAACTACACTAGCATTTTTTAAATTCAGAGGCAAGTCAATTGTTAAAAGCCTGCATGTCTGGATATTCCTGAGGTTGAAGCTGCAGTGGCAAATACAGTCCAAAGAAACGGGGTGGGGGGTGGAAGGGAGAGATAATGTTGACCTTTGGGATTTAAATCTCCTAATTCCTGGTACATAGTAGCTGTGAAGACAGACTGAGATCAGTAGCTTTTTTTTCCACACTCCATCCAAAATCAGAGTTTAACCTGCAAGTAGAACTTTATACGAAAATGTTGTAGTTAAAAGCTGTTCATGAAATCACTTAAAAATCCACAGACTTTTGCATGTGCAGTTTTTCTTCCATCTGAAACATACATCTGCCTTAACACTTCCCCAGCAACTAACTAATGTTGCAAACCAAAAATTGCAGTGGGTGGAGCTTTTGAGAACAGGCCTTCAACTCAGGTCACTGGTTGAAATCCAAGCAGAGATAATGTCAAAAGTTTGACGGAATGTGGAAACTATTGAATTTATGCAGTACTTAGTAATGAGTATACCTAATTGGTATTTACTGCTCTAAGGGCAGTTATATGGTAAATGTCCCGAGTTACAGATTGCAAAGGGAGTTGGTTGTAAGAGTCCCTCTCTCAGGAGAGACTCTTTACAAACAGAAGGTAGGTGAATTTGCCTTTAATGTATCCCTTTTTTTTTTTCCAAGAATAGTCTGGAAAAAATTGGTATAGTTGACACACATTTTCAAAGTTAATGCCAGAAAATTACTTTGCCCTTTGAATAGGAAGAACTGTTAGTCTTCCCTATAAGCTGTCCTCCTATGACCTTTGAGTTGCCCTCTTGAGAAAGTTGAACTACTTCTTTCTCAAACTTGGTCAGGCAGTGGCCAAGTACAGGTTTGGCTTTTAAATGAACAGATCTAAGGGCTTTGGAATGTGACACAGTAGTGCTGCATCTCTTTCTGCTTAATTTCTGTTTTGTTAACATTTATCCACATGTGTATTTATTGCTAAATTATCTTGGTGAGATGCCAGATTTCTCATTGTGCTCCAGTATTGCAGAAATCATTAGGATTTTAAAAAACAAAACATTCCCACCCCTTCGAAAAAGTCACGTAATGGCTGCATGTGGACTTGATAATTTACTTTATATGAGAAATTTCTGTATAGATGCCTGTGGTGACTATAAATATTAAATATCCTTGGTTGTAGGTGTCATAAAACGTTGAAGCAGTTTTTTGTTTCAGTGGCAAGTCTGATGAATGCAATGTGACAATTTTTTATGTGAAGGGAAAGATCTAATTGCTATGCCTAATACATTTTGCATTGCTTGATTTATTTTTCATTCCTCAACCCCTTGATCAGGAGAACTGGGATTTCCTGA